CCCCAAAACCCCAAAACCCCAAAACCCCTTGTTATAAAAATTGCAGGAAACTTTGATTAGCAAGATTCAATTTTGACTCAATTAATTATAAGTATATAGCTAGGTTAACCCTTCTCCCATGAATCCCAAATGAAATCAATTTGCACTCAATCTCCTGAAGCACAGCCCTTGCATCCACATTTAACACATTCAACAACTTTTTCCTCTTCCATCTAGGCTTTGGGTACTCTGCAAATGCAGCCCTTACCAAAAGCGCTGTCCCCTTTCTAGATGCATTGTAGACAGCAAAGCTTTTCATAGCCACCCTTTTTCCATTTGGCAATCAATGCAGCATCTGCCCATTTCTCTCTCAAGCAGAATTCATAGAGTTCTCTTGAAATTTCCTTCTTCTTATAGTATAGATCGTAGATGTATCGAGACATTTGATGATGAATTTTGTAGATTGGCCAAAGCACTTCTGGCTTTCTCTTGCCCTCAATAGGTTCGTTTTCAACTATAGTTGCAATTAGTTAGTGAAAAATGTGATACCATCTCTGAGTTTAATCTAAAGCTCAGATAAAGTGGGTTCTATATGATCCCATCCTTTTGGTGCTTTTTTTGTTCTTGAAGTCTTAATTTTAGGCATTTTAAATTATATAAATTTAAGAAATTTAATTGTTATATTAAACAAACTTATCAAACGATATTCATCTTTCTTATTTCTAAAGCATATATTTAAAATATATATATTAATTCTCATATCAGATTCTTTGAATAACTCACAGCTTCTCACTTCTTCATCTTTCCCATCATATTCTTTGCTTTGAGCATTTCCTCCATAAACTCCTTTTGCTAAAATTTCTGTTTGAAATGACTTTTATCCATTCTTTTCAGCTCTTCTTAAATTGAGTCTCTCGAAAGTGTACCTTTTTCTTGCTTGGTAGTCTTAAAAATCGTATCATCCTTCCAGAGTCCATACATTGGAAATAGTTTAGAGTAGGTTTGATTAGTGGATGGCTTCAGGTTAGGGTTCAAGCCTACTTGTCTAGTAGACTTAGATTGTGTCAATATTGATTTGTATAAGAACTGCTGCTATGTGGTGCCTCTCTCACCCATTACATATTCATTAAGGTCCTCTGAAGCTTGGTTTCTTGCTGAGTTCATGATTTCATCTCTTTCATTCTATTAATAAGAGTCAGCAGCTCCGAATGGTTAGGCTCCTCTTATTCTAGGTAGTGTAAATTGCTCCTAGCTTTTCTGCTAGGCAGTGTTTTTTTACATTTCTAATTAATTATTTTATATCTCACCTTTTACCTAATTTTTTACTCTCTAAAATTATCCTATATTGATATCACGGGGTTTTGGGGTTTTGGGGTTTTGGGG